CTGCCCAGCAGTTATTTTGGGAGCTCCATCCTGGCAGGACTGGGCCCTGCAGGCCCGGCTGGTCCCTCTGGAATTTCAGCAGGGATCTCAGCAGAAGGTCAGCACCGACCTTGCATTGCCAGTTCCCTGGAATAGCTCACGGAGGGGAAATGCAGGCCCCAAAAACGGTGCCCTACAAAAGAGGATTAGGCTAATGTAGGTAATTAGCCTACATTAGTGATGCCACAGAACAGCTCCAGGGCCTGGCAGTGGGGAACTGTGGCTGAAATGCACCTCATGGGCAGGTGAGGTACACACAGCTCCTCTGCTTTGTGTGCACAGCAGAAAATACAAACTCTTTATTCTGGGTTACTAATTCTGAGTGCATCACCCCTTGATTAGACCCTCAGCTCTTGTCGTGGCTTTTTATTCCTTGCAGTGCTCAGCCACCTCTGACAGACCCACCTTGGGCAGAGGTGGTGAATAAAGAGATTCACAGAAGTTCTGGAAGCTGGTGGCTGGGCAGAGGATTGATCCTGGCTATTCACTAAACCATCTCTCACTTTGGGAAAAGCTCAGCTGTTTTGGGATGTTTCACCTGAACATCAGGAAGAACTTTTCTGTGCAGTGACTGAGCACTGGAGTCCTCTGGGCAACCTGTGCCAGGGCCTCATCATCCTCACAGTAAAGAATTCTGTTGTAATCTCTAATTTAAATTTACTCTTTGTCAGCTTAAAGCCATTCCTCCTTGTCCCATCACTACATGATCTTGTAGTAAGTCTCTCTCCATTTTTCTTTTGAACTGGGATGGGATAGATGGATTTGAACTAGGAGGGAAAAAGGAAGACAAGAAAGCATTTCTGCTTCTACTGCTTCTTCTCCTGAAGAATGACTTCTTAGCCTAATGAAGCTCTGTGACAATTTTAGAAAAATTTCTTTAAAATTCATCACAATTTCTTTTTCTTAGCTAGCAGGAAGTTGATCAAGTGGACACCAAGCAGAAAATACTTCTAAGAACTTCCTTGAATGGATTTGTGTCAAGATACCACAAATATCATGGTCAGAAATTTCAAGAACAAAATCCCAGTGGAAGCTGCACAAGGAGCTTTCTCCTGACAGCAAGAACCAAGTTTTCATTTTGGCCAGCAAAGACACCAATGCTGCTGCACAAGAGAGCAGGGAATTGGTGTTGAAAAGGGAAGGAGCCAATGAAGGAACTGATTTTAATGGAATTGAGGACAGTTTTTGACTCTTCCAGGAATTCCAACAGAGAAGCAAAAGCTGGGCATTGAACAGGTGTGGATCCAATGATGTTACAGTCGGCAGAACCAAAGATTTTTGAAGAGCCATGGATTGTACTGGTCCTTTTGGATGTGAGGGTGACTTTATGATTAAATTAACCTTTTTTTTTTAAATTTTCTAACACAGGGAAACCAGATTGGAAATTGAGGTGTAGAGAAGCTCCCAGCTGGGAAATACTTGTCATCGTAGCACTTGATTTACAAAAGTTTTAAAGAATGACAATTCTTCAGAATGCCTGATTTTAACAGGAACTGTTCTGCACTCCCATAAATGTATTTATCATGGAAAGTGGTCTTAGGAGGACTTCTGGGACACAACTTCCAAGTATGCATTTTCCCTAGGATAACTAACACAGCCTTTTTCCTGGACACTTCTCCAGAAAACTCCATGGTTTTGGGGAAGGATTTTCACAGAATCACTGAGGTTGGAAAAGATCTCTAAAATCATTAAGTTCAGCCTGTGCTTGATGCCCACTTTGTCCCCAGCTCAGAGCACCTCGTCCAGGTTTTCCTTGGACACCTCCAGGGATGGGGACTCCAAACCTCCCTGGGCAACCCCTCCAACACTTAACAATCATTTCCATGAAAAAAAAAATTTCTCCTGATATCCAGAAATTCCTGCCTGATGTTTTAAACCGGAAAAGAAACTTTTCATACTCAGGAGCGTGATCTTCACCACAAGTGTGAACACGAAGGAACACAATTCCAGAGAGTATCAGGGAGAACTCAGGGAGATGCACTATTTTTTTGGGAACAAGCCTCATCCAGCAGCAATTCCAGGACCTTCTGGTCCAGAGGCGTGCCAACCTACACAATGTGCAGCTCTGGCTGTCAATCCAATGCCGGTACTATCGAAGCCGGCTCTGATGATGACTCAAAAGCCGATCTATCTCCATCCGAATGGGTTACCATGGCAACCCCTCTGGCCTAAAAAGAGCTGGACCACATTAGTTACTTAGCAGCACCTTTTTGACAGGCGAAACACAAGCTGCTCCCTCCAGATGATGGTTTCATTTAGAACTGCGGCTGTCTGGGAGCTGCCGCGGCGCTCTGGGAAGCGTTGGTGATGTAACCCATGGAGGAGAACTTCTGCTGGGACTTCACTTGGGGTTGGGGCCCAGCACCAAAGGAATTGAGCTGTGTGGTGGCTTTGGTGGAGAAACACAACAGCAGAATCTTTCTTTCTGTATTATGATGGAATTCTTCCTCAAGATCTTCCAGCTTGGGTCTGCTGACCTGAGAGGGCCCCTCTTCCATCGGGATCAGAGGATTATTGGAATTGCTGCTGGTCCAACACAGCATCTACATCAAAACTTGTACCCAAAGTACAAATGCTGAGCCCTGGAAAAGTCAGGGTGCCCATGGCTGCTGTGAAGGAAGCCTGGAGTTCAGGCAGAGATGGAAACCCTCCAGAAGGAAAACTGCAGGGCTACAAGGGCAGGTTGGACCAGGGAATGAAGCCTTCCAGAACACACAGTGAAGAGGCAAATGAATCCCTGTACTCCATGTAGGAAGGCTGAAAAGGGAAAAAGTGGAACACATTTCCCATAATCACACTCTACTCCAGAGAATCGTAGTTTGGGTTGGAAGGGGCCTTAAAGCCCATCCAGTGCCACCCCAGCCATGGCAGGGACACCTCCCACTGTCCCAGGTGCTCCCAGCCCCAATGTCCAGCCTGGCCCTGGGCACTGCCAGGGATCCAGGGGCAGCCCCAGATGCTCTGGGCACCCTGTGCCAGCCCCTGCCCACCCTGCCAGGGAACAACTTTCTCATATTCCTAACCTAAAATTCCCCTCTTTCAGTTTGAAATCACTCCCCCCTGTCCTGTCACTCCAGGTCCTGATGAATTGTCCCTCTCCAGCTTCCCTGTAACCCCTTTCAGACACTGGAAGTTGCTGTGAGGTCTCCACACAACCTTCTCTTCTCCAGGCTGCAGAGCCTGGGACAGTGGAAGGTGTCCCTGCCCATGGCAGGGGTGGCACTGGATGGTTTGTAATCCAATCACAGAATCAAACTGATTCTATGGTAGTAGAGTGTGATTATGGGTACTGTGTCCCATTTTTCCCCTTTTCAGCTGTTTTGTTACATCTGTTCCACTTCTCTAGACTGCTGTACATTATTTTCTCTCTTACATCCCATTTCTGCACTTTCCTCCTCATTTTTAGTGTGCTTTTTTCTTATTTTTTCTCAATTTTTCTGCTTATTATTGTTATTTTTGGCTCCAAATATTCTGCTTTCTGAGGGGTGGTCTCTTAGGAAGAGAAGCCCAAGCCTATCCACTAATTCATACAGAATGTACACAAACTCTTGTCTTCAAGTACTGCAAACGTACTTCAGGTGTGATGCAGAGTTAAAAAAAAGGACTCTCAAGTCTTCCCTGTCTTAGCAGTCCCTCCCTTCCTAAAGAAAATTTAAAAAAGAGTAAGATTTGGCAATTTTTGATAAGCAAGAACTTGGATTCCTTTTATCCAGGTCACAACTTGTGTGCAAAGTTTCCAGGTGGGGCAGGATTCTGGTGGAATCCCAGCCTGGAGTATCCCTATCCAAAGCCTAAACCTCTGGCAGAGAACACAAGTTCAGTTTCTGACAACCCATTCCATGAAGAAATTCTTCCTGATGTCCAACCTGAACCTCCCCTTGCTTTTTAATGAAATGAATATTGAAGAGAACACTTTTGTACAAGGGAAGAACCATGCAGGTTATTTATTATCCAAATAAAATTAACAATCCAAAAATATCTAGTTGTTTGTGATGGAAAAGCAACATTTTAAGAAGATGTCATCACCATTTAAAGGACATTTTATCTCTGCCCAAAGTGCCAGAGCTTGGGTATAGCCAGCAAAATAAAAGTAGAGGATGACTGAGCAAATGCACAAACTCTTGAAAAGTCTGTAATATTTTTAAGTGTTAGTAAAAAAACCCTCAAAACCTGACAAAAACCCCAAACCCCAAGAAGTTACAGTAATGAACAGTGTAACAAATTTCTGTGAGCTTTGTAGTTGCCTACACTGCGCAACAGAAAAACTATTCTGTCACTGCACTGACATAGACCAGAAAGAGATTTTAGAGGGGAAAAAATCCTCAGGGAATGTCTCCCCTTGCTCCTCTCTGAGAGCGGAGCTGTCCTTCCTGACTGAGAGATTGGGCTGAGGTTGTTGGCCTTTGATATCTTGGAATTGTCCATGTTGGAAGAGCCCTCCAGGATCACCCAGTGCCACCCCCGCCCCAGCAGCATCACCCCAAACCCTGTCCCCAAGGGCCACATCCAGACTCTTCTGGGACAATTCCAGCCACTCCAAACCTCCCTGGGCAGCTCATCCCAAGGCCTGACCGCTCTTCCAGGGAAATTTTCTTTCCCAATCTCCAACCTGAGCCTCCCCTGGTGCCATTTGAGGCCATTTCCTCTCCTCCTTTCCCTGAGAGCCCAACCCCCTGCCTGTCCCCTCCTGCCAGGGACTTGTGCAGAGCCACAAGGTCCCCCGGAGCCTCTTTTGCTCCAGGCTGAGCCCCTTTCCCAGCTCCCTCAGGTGTTGCTTTCCACATCCCAGGACAAGAACCACATTCTGGCTCAGAGTCAACAAGAGAAGTGTCAAAAGCAGCTCCAAGTGACCTCAAATCTTTCCAGGGCTGTGGGGAAGGAGAAAGCACCTCTTAAATCATGGTGCTCCCAGGCACCTCCCATGGCTGGAAGGCGCAATTCCATAAATAATTTCAACTCACCTAACACCTCCCTGTCACTCCTGGGGTGCTCCCATGGTTCCCCTGCTCTTCCCTGTGCACCCCTGTCCCTGGAGAGGGACTTTTCGCAAGGGACTGCGGCGACAAACAGGAATGGCCTTAAGCTAAAAAAAAGAGAGGTTTAGATGGAGAAATCCTTCCTTGGGAAGTGGGGAAGCCCTGGCACAGGTTTTCTAGGGAAGCTGTGGCTGCCCCTGGATCCCTGGAGGTGCCCAAGGCCAGGCTGGACATTGGGGTTTGGAGCCACCTGGAATAATGGAAGGTGTCCCTGCCGTGGCAGGGGTGGCACTGGATGGGCTTTGATGTCCTTTCCACCCCAACCCACTCTGGGATTCTGTGATTACACAATTTAAGTAAAATTCTCAACACTTCAGTTATTTGGGGGGCTTTGGCTGTGGCTGCATCCGTCTGCCAATCCTTGGCTGCTTATTTCCACCTTTTAAGCCAAGATAAAAAAATATTAAAACAGGAAGAAAAAGCAAATGGAACAAGTAACATGTCCTAATTTCTCCAAGGAGGCTGGCTGGGAACTGAAATGACTAGATTAAAGTATCACACGTCAGAATTAAAGTATTAGATAAAGGCCAGTCTCTACTTTTTGATCTTTGTGGGCATTCCAGAAATTAAAAAAAAAAAACAAAAACCCAAAAACATTAAAAACCCCCTGTCACAGATTTAGGCTGGAAGCACCGATACGGCAATTCCAAGGGGAAAGGAGCCTTCAGCAGCTCGAGGCTCCCACACAGGGCTACTTATAGTGCATATTTTAATTCATTTTTAGGGAAATGTATTGATTTTTCGAGGGGGATGAGGAAGACCCCTGGATGCAATTCCAAGGGGAGAAGAGCCTTTTATTCTGTTATTCCCTCAGCACCTCAAGGCTCCCCCACCAGTAGCCAAGCTACTTTTAGTGCATTTTTAAACCCATTTTGGGGGAATATATGGATTTTCAGAGGGGGATGAGAAAGACCCCTGGATGCTGAATGGAAAGGAGCTTTGCCTCAGCAGCTTGAGGCTCCCATGCCCAACTAATTTCTGGGGGAATATATATTTTTTTCTGAGGAAAATTAGAAAAAGCCCTGGATGGAATTTCAAGGGGAAAAGAGCCTTCCCTCAGCAGCTCAATGCTCCCACACCAGGTGACTTTTAGTGCGTTTTTTAACTTGTTCTTGGATGGAATATATTGATTTTCTGAGGGGACAAGACCCCTGGATGCAATTCTGAGGGGGAAAAGACCTTCTAGAATCCCGTGACTCGCCCAACACGTCGAGGCTCCCACATCGGACGATTTTTACCACAATTTCCAACTCGTTTTCAGCCGTGATATTTTTAAGCGGGTCGAGAAAGACCCGTGGACGTAATTGCGACGGGAGGGGAGAGGAGCCTTCCCTCAGCAGATCGAGACTGCTACTCCAGGCTCCTTCCAGGGCGTTTTTGGATCGGTTTTTCGGCAATGTCTCGCTTTCCGTGCCCGGCCCTGTCCCTCCCCACAGGCGGCGGGCGGGAAGCNCCTGCGGTGGGCGGGTGCGAGGGCTCGGGCCGGGCTGGCGGCGAGGAGGGCGGCAGGACTTGGAGCATCACCTGTTGTAGGGGAAGATTGGGATGCCCCGGCACCTGTGAGGGGCCGGTGGGGCGGGTGGAGAAGGTGGAGGGAGATGGGGAAGGAGTTACCTGAGCGAGGTGCCTGTCATCCCTTCGGTGGGGGTGGGGAGGAGGAGGGAGCAGCGTTGGGAATAGGCACAGGGACACGCAGGGACACACAGGCACAGGGACAGACAGGGACACACGGGCACTCCCCAGGGAGGTGGTGGAGGCACCGTCCCTGGAGGTCTTTAAGGAAAGGCTGGACGTGGCTCTCGGTGCCATGGTCTGGTTGACAAGGTGGCCGTAGGTTGGACTCGATGCTCTCGGAAGTCTTTTCCATCATTAATGATTCCCTGATTCCATATTTTACTAGCTGGCCGCAGCCTTTTAGGGATCCAGCTTTGTGTTGCTGGAGGAATTGGAGCTCTTCTCGGATACACTGGGTGCTCTTCTGGAGTGGCCAGAGTTCCCTCTCGCCGCCGCGGGATCACAAAACGCATTTAAAAGTCCTGGAATTCGAAATTTAGAAATTGGCGTGTTTTTGAATCTCAGTCGGCTTTGAAGTTTTGGGTTTAGCCCGTCCAAAGACCACGTAGGGGTTCTTTGATCATGTCTCTAGATTGCTGCTGTTACTTAGCTCTCCTATTACTCCACAGCCATCGGGGGAAATAAACATTTATTGTTATTTAAAATCAACAAAGACAGAGTAGCTGACTCCAAAATAAATGGACAGGCGTGTTTTTGACAACCATCCTGGTTGAATCCGAATGAGAGTGTGCTGTTAACTTTAGCCAGGAGGTACTTGTAGTCACACTGAGGTGGATGGAGTTTCATGGGGGCCTGGATTTGTACAAGTTAACAACTTTTTTTTATTATCTTCTTAGTATTTCCTTTCGTCTTCCTCAAGAAAGGTGTGGGAAGTTGAAGAACACGTAGATGATAGCTGGTGATAAATTAGTAAACATTTAGTTTCTGGTAGGATTTAATTCTCTGCCTGTAACCAAGCAGAATTTAACTTCCCTCCCTGGAATAGTCTGTAGCCCTAAAAAGTTTTGGTAAACTTATTTCTCTCTTTCTCCACGCCGCCCTCCCCCCAACCTCTGTAGGTTGGATATTTTTGGAAAATTAATTATACTTTATAGAGTTAGAATAATAACACTGAAAATAACTCTGAGCTAGTATTTGTTAACTATTATCTATATATATTTGGTGTGTATATATATAGATACTTTTGTAGGCTACGCTTCATGTTTTTGGCTTACATGAATTATTTAGAACTAGACTTTTTATTTGCAGTCTGAAGTAGAATATGTGTGTGAAGTGTTAAATTTACATTTTCTGCTGTGAATTAAAAATTCCGTCCAAGTTTATGAAGCTTATTGAGTTTAATTCATGGCTTTGGAATATTCCTTGGGTGAAGCAAGTAGATCTTGCTCAAAATTTAAGAGCGAGCGGGGTTTTCTTAAGCCAGGAGGGCAATAGGTCAAGAGTTTGATATTGTTTCCAGGCTCTAGGCTGGGGTTGGTTACAGGAGTAGCAAGTGTTACAGTTCCTGCATCAATACTTGGGTGGATTTGGGACTTGTCATTGGCATCCCCTCCCCCTCGCTGGACAGTGACAGGGATAATTTTACCTAATAGCAGCCAAGAGTTCTCCGTTTCAGTGCCGATTTATGGGCAGGATTCCCTCTCCTGTGTGAAACAACGAGGGACTCACCGGGAATTTATCCCTTTTGGAAGTCTGGGGGGTTGTGCAGACTGGGAATTAGCACGTGATGGCCATCAGCGACTTCTGCAAACTGGTTGATAGTTTAAACAAAGTAGCAGAACACCACTGGTGTCCGGGAAAAAAAACTGTGCCTTGTCAGAGCTTTTCAAGTGACATTTAATTAGGACAGACTTGCTTACATGTGCCACATCTTAAAGTCATGTTTGAAACTGGACCACCTGCTCAGATGGTATGTGAAAAGAATAAACACACAAAACCGGAGCCTTTATTTGCCATACAGGCATTTCACAGCTTCATCTGAGCTCAAATGGGTGCTGATTTGAAGACTAAAACTTACTGGTACCAAAAAAAGCACTTTTTGTTGCTATAGTTAGATTATCTTCTGGAAATTCCTCTTAAAACCTGTTAATTTCAGGTGTTTTTTAAGGCTGGCTGTGGGACTGCAGGTTGAAAGCTGTGGTGACAATTTGTGTTTTTGAGTGAGAATTGCAGCCTTGTATCTGTTTATCCTTTCCATGGTCATTTTGAATGCCATTTGGAGAGTGTTCAACACAATGAAGTACAAAACTTTCTGATGCCTTTATATTATGGGAGTTGTATAACTTCTGAAATCCTTTTGTAAATAGATCTGTTGTTGTAGAATAGGATTATTTACAGAGAACTGCTGCTTTTGTCTTTATAACTGAGTACAATACATTATTTGTTGAGTTTACAGTTTCATCTCTTCTTTGCTAAGAGGTTGGTAAGAAATACATTTTCACAAAAATTATGTAATAACTTTATGTCCACTCAGACTCTGATGCTTTTGCAGTGAGAGATCTTTTTTGTTCCAAGACTATTTGAAATAATACCAAAAATCTGTCTTGAGTGAACTGTTCTTGTGAGCTTCTGAGGGAAGAAAGAAGTAATCAGAAGGGGAATGCTCTTCCTTTCCTTCCTCACCTCCATGGGTCCTTCAAGAGGAGGCTTATGGGAACTGTAGTCTTTGGATGGCTTAAGAACACCAGAGCAACTTTGGAAAATCAGGAATTGTTACTTCCACAAAGACATGTTCCATATGTGGAGTTGTCCAGTGCTGGCTCTTCAAGGTGACACAATATACCAATAGAATTGCTGTGATTATCCATTTTTTTATCTGTCTTTTCCTCTTTAGGGGAAGGAAGGTAAAATTCTGCATTTGATTCTCATTTATCCCAGAATGACTGGAGAAATAACTGGACAGCTTTTGCTGGTACCAATGGATTTCATTCCTTCAGAACAGGGCTCTGGTTTGTCCTAACCCTTGGTATGGCTCACTTTGACAGATATTGGCTTTATCATCTCCTTATTTATTCCAAAGTGTCCTGTCCTGATGATTTTCAGGGAGAATCCCCACTGAAGGGCCAGGGAAATGTGGGAGACAGTTCCCAGTCAGCTCTGCCTGCATCCATACAGTGGGAAAACTCTGGTGCTGCTTCAGTCCCCTGTAGGAAAACAAAATCAGTTAAATCCCAGCTCAGAATTTTGGAAAAGCAGGGATATGGTTCTGTAACTGAAACACCATGAGCTGACACCTATTTGTAAACATTCTTCGTGTGAAGTTTCCATGGTCTGGGTAGCACCAAGTACCTGAAAGTGAAACTGAGTAAATGAAAGTAAAATTAACTCCATTAAGTGTCAGTTTTGTTCCAGCTGGGAGAGACCAAGCTTTCAATTGATGTTACATAAAGTTCCAAAGCCTCCTTGTATTCTTTTTTTCCCCTCTTTTTCTTTTCCCCCAGAGGCAAATAAAAATAGACTGTGTTGTGAGTCAGTTAAAGGAATAGTTAATAATACATTAATACCTCTTTGTGTTGAAAAGTTTTCTCTTTCTTTTTGGTAACTGTTTGGATGGTGAAATAAGAGAGGGATGGAAATGTACAAATTGATTTCTGATGGCAGAGTCATTCCTTCAAAAAATAATGGGAAAAAAATTAGACTGGATTTTGTTGAGTTACGGGAAAAAATAAATCAAATTAGTAGGATGACTAGTTCACAAAAGCATAAGTAAATAATTTTAATGATTAAATTGAACTTGCCAGTGAAACTTTTAAATCCTGGTGTCCCAAAAACCTGCTGTTCATTGGTTTTGTGATTCCCTGACTACAAACACATTTCATTCCAAATCCCCTTTCCCTGTATGTGTCCAGCTCATGATTTGTGCTTCTGTGAACTCCATAAATTGCTAATAACTCATTTACTGTGATCCTGTTGCAACATCCAGCATCTCCTTTGCAGAGGGAGCAGTTTTGTTCCCCTGGTATCAGTTTGAGTTAAAACTCGAGGAAGGGGTTAAAAGAGGAGAGAAATATTGTCAGGGAAGTGAATGTGTTGGTACTTCCTCAGTTCTGTGTTTTCCTGGTCACTCTGAGTTCCCTCACGCTGATCTCTGCCCTGTCTGGTTGTAACTACAGCTTTATCCTTACTTACAGCTGTATAACCACATATATTCCTGTTTTTAAATGCAGTTTTAACAGGACTTATGCATTAAATACATAAAGGGGGGGGGTGTGGTCAAAGACAAATCAGTTTCCATACACTCTTTCAAAATCTGATTGATACTGGAAGCTCAGTAACTTTCCAGGATCATGTCTGATTCTGGCTTCTTTATTGTTATTCTTTCCAAGTTGTGGATAATTAGGCATTAATGTAGTGCTGTGCCAGAGTTAGTGTTTGAAATACATTGATTTCTTTGTTAATGTTACAAGATCCTGGTAGTTTTCATTTCTATAGAAGTTACTCATAAATACAACAACCACTGGGTCAGTGTTGTGGAATAACAGCTTAATGCACATTTTTCACCATCATGAGATGTTCCTAAGCTTTGAATTCTGTGCTCTTGTACTTGGGGTGACTTTCAGTCAATGTCAGAGTGTGCCTTCAGAAACTGAGATTGTTATGGCAGGCCCTGTGCAGGAAAAGGAGCATTCCTGCAAATGCTGGATGTGTGTGTGGTTGCACCTATGGATCTCTGTCTTCCCAATAAAATCAGATTTTTCATGGAATCCCAGGATGGTTTGGGTTGGGAGGGTACCTTAAATCCCATCCAGTGCCACCCCCTGCTATGACCAGGGACACCTCCCACTGTCCCAGCAGCTCCCAATGTCCAGCCTGGCCTTGGGCACTGCCAGGGATCCAGGGGCAGCCCCAGCTGCTCTGGCAATTCCATCCCAGCCCCTGC